TAGTAGGATCCTTATTAGGACCCCAAAATAAGGTACCCTAATTTTCGGAAACCCCCATTTGCTTGCCACTGCCAGGAAAAATCTGAACCGGCTTAGCCTTCGTCGGCTCTACGTCTCAGGCAACCATGCCTTTGTGCAATGGCTCCTGGGAAGTCTGCATGCACTGTACCATCTGTTCCCAAAGCGGGAGCGAACACGAATCAATTGGCTCTTGCCTGACGTCAGCTCTTGCTGAGTTCTAGGATGCCGCTGGCATCTTCACGTTCCTCTGCGACCGAATGTGCACGGGGTGGCCAAGGGTGACGTCCTCAGGCGCTGAAATTGGCGGTGCATCATCCAATCGAAATTCCAAGGACCGCTCACAACAAAAAACATCCACGTTGAATGTATCCGCTGGATGCCAAACATGGCTGCAATGCACAAATAGACCTTCAGTCGCTGTCATAGCATGATGCTGCATTGCATTGAATACTGGGCTCAATCATGCAGTATGCATGGCATTCAAGCGGCATTTGCACAGGACCAAGTACACTGAAAAGATATCAGCTTGTACAACGAATGTGGGTTGCTTACTCGTAACAAATGGCATACGAGCTCCTAGCCACTTGGATTCAGCTTGGTTTCGCTAGCCGGATAGTGCTGAAGCCAGCAGGCTTAGAACTCCCTGTTTAGCAGACTCATGAATGAATGCAGAAGTCTGGGAACACAATGATGCCTGTGCACGACTCTTACATCAATCTAATAGATACTTACTATAATCCATTCCCCTTGACCCTAAATCCCAAACCCTACACTGCTAAAGTGTCTAAACTCTAAACCAGGGCACGAGCAACTCCACTGAGCTCAGCTTCGGCCGCTCGCCCTGCAATCGGAGAAAGTCCTGGTAGGACTCCGAAGTTAGCACGACCAGCTTCACGACTTTTGTGCTTTGCGGTTTAAGGGTTTGACCAGGCTCTCGGGAGTTGTTCAGGGCCCTTTCGGCTCGCGGCGGAGTCTACGGGTTTACCTACGCTTGTTGAATGCCGTTTTCGGGCTCTGTTAAAGTTTATGGCTTCATAGTAAGCATAAGGGAACCGCCGACCACGCAAAGATCACACAGCTTCGGGTATACCAACAGTCTTCCTGCAATGCCAATCACTTGACACGTCAGTTGCGACTGGTCTGAGAACGAAACCACTGCATCTTCCTACGAAGCCGATTTCGAGTGGCAACTGACATCGACATCTCTCCTGGACGCCACCCTCCTTCTGCAGGCTCTCTGCCAGGACACCTGGATCCCGGGACTGTGGCCAAGCCAAACTGTGTGACCTTTGCCGCTGGTGGCACATCTGCACCTGTACCTGCTGTCCTGAGATCCACTTGCCACCACGGCTGTGGCGGTGAGCTACTGGACATGTGTTAGTAACTGTTAGCACCTTCGATCCGACTCCAATCGCACCTTCGGCATCGAGCTCACCGTTCCGCAGCGGCAGCAGATATCTCGGAACCGGAGTCCTAGGCTGGCATCGGAAACTCGGAGAGGAAGAGCTCCAGGATTTCTATACCACTCTTCAAGTTCATGAGCTACAGAAGAAAGTCCCTATCTACATATATATATATATATATACACACATACGTATGTATGTATGTATGTATGTATGTATGTACGTACGTACGTACGTACGTATGTATGTATGTATGTATGTGTGTGTAGGTATGTATGTATGTATGTATGTATGTATGTATGTAGGTATGTATGTATGTAGGTGCGTTGGTAGAATTGAATCGAAACCTCGGCTTCCCCTCTACCTCGACTCAGCCTAATCCCCTCTTTGATATCATTCGCTGACCGAACCTTGCTCGGCCGAGAAGGTGCAGGGCACCCAACCATTGCGATGCCTTCCTGAGTTGTCGTCTCTCGGCAAGCTGGAACTCTCTACTTTGTGAGTCCATCAGCTGGGGATTGCTCGATCCCTTTACAGCCAAGTGTTCTGGAAACAAAGGGCAGATTCTGCGCTGGGCTTTTGATTTACTATGCCGTCACTCTGACGAAATCGGTCCTGAACGAAGCTATAGAAGAAGAAGAAGAAGTGAGCCCTATCCTTCACAAAGAGAACCATTCGCAGTGACACTAGCCAGACCATGGTCTTTTACAGCCCACAAGAAAAAAACCGAAAAGCACATGGCTCTAGCTGCAAGTCATCAAGTCCGATCGCTCCACGTTCCGGCTGAAAGGACTCACAGGCAGGGATGGGATTCGGGTCCGTAGTGGCGAAAGCACGTTCTGCGAAGAAGCGCCTCCAGTTCAGGAGTTCAACAGAAGAACCTCGAGTTCAAGGAGTAGGGGGGTTTCTTGGTGCGCTTCGGGTCGAAATCTCCGGGATCGCACTCGCAGTCAGGAGCGCTGTGTAAGAGAGGAGCGGTTCAATCAACATCTACACCGAACTGCACCCCGAACTTAAAACATGCATCCCAAACATTGCACGAACCTAATAGGTCTCAGGAAGACATGAGGGAATCACTCGTTGCAAGGAAGCTGCCCGCACGAGCTGATGGCTGCACTCCTTAGACTTCACAACACCACATCAAAGCAGCTTAAAAGCAAAGCCGGAACTATGAAGCTCACTCCCCAAGAGCTCAGCCATGACCATGAAAATCTCAACTGGCTGCTGTATTTACCAAGAACTTCGACACTTGGCTGAAGTTGAGAAGGGGTTCACAGCTGTATTTAGCCATGGCTTCGACACTTGTCTAAAGTTGGGAAATGGTTGCGAATCAAGTGGAGGCAACCGTGGTCTGGAATCGTGGGCTTGGAGCCCCAACCTCTTCCAACATCAGTCCCGAGCTCAGGGTGATCAGGTTCACTTGTAGTCCTTGGTCCGCCGCCTGCGAAAGCAACTGCAAAGCCCGTCGCCACTCCGCGGCCTGAAAGGAATAACCAAAGGCATGTCTGGGTCGCTCAGTAAAGCTGTGCCCGACACCAGGTCCGCAAACTTTAAAACCCTGTGCCACGCGAAAACACTGCTGCACACGGTTTTCCGTGCATCGAGATTAAACCGTTGTATCCAAGTGCTTGTAGTGGCTTGCATGCACTAATGGCTGAAGGCTGAAGGAAACCCAGTTTGAGATGAGTGTGCTAGAATCTTTGGTGTAGGTCCACAGGCTCGGTAACCAGAAAGCCAACAACTGCCTTCTCACACGCACTAATGGCCGCGCTGTAGCTGGTCACGTCGGCCTCCAGCTGCCAGACCTAAGTTTTGCAGCGGTCTCGAGACGGAACTTGGAAACCTTCGAGGCGAAACGAGGTGAAACGAGTGCAGAGCTTGGCGTTTCGACTTGCACAAGCCCTGTCGTGTGTGCTCCCAGCCTGGCGTGGTTTCCAAAAGATTCTGGTGGAGGGCAGCTGGCCCCTCTGATTCCGATCAGCGTTCTGATACCCGCACGGCTGGAGTGCCAACCTTCGGAAACATCTCGAAACAACTTAAAGCCCTGATCCTTCCAAGCCTTGAGAAGTCGCCGAGTAACTGCTAGATCGACCAGCAGCCACAAGGCTTCTTCCCATCGGACGGCTTTTTCCTTGCAAAAGAGACGGTCGAAACTCTTAGGTTGAGAGACTTTAGCGAGTAGATGGCCCTGACCGAAGCACCAAAACAGAATACGAAACCCAAAAAACAAACATGACATGATGGACTTCCACGATGTCTTTCCTGTCAGTGGCGCAGTCCGAACCGATATCACCTTTGTTTCTTCCGCCCCCCCCCCCCCC